GCTCAATTCTAAGGTCTTGGAATCTGTGTGATCTTACCAAATAGAAGCAATACTATTCATACCCTTGCAATTTTTAAAAGGTACATACAACTAACATAATTGAATATAATCACTGTATAGACAGTCTTTCATCGGATAATCAAAAATTTTCAGCATAAAAAATTAAACAATCAGTCAGTTTTTTTCCCAGTTGTTGAACAAGAGTCATCCATAAACAATTCGAAATTTGGTAACTCATAAGCATCGTTTTTTATGCATGAGCGGAATACCGCAAAGCGGAAAAACAAGCTGACCATTATTCAATCTCGCAGGAAGCGCTCTTTAGACGATTATTGAAAAAAAATCTCCGTGTTTGTAGTAAACAAAGCACTACAGTGTGCACTCGTGCAAGCTGTACTAAAATGTTCTATAAAAATACTTATCGTTAGCTCTACAGTTGGTTGTAATTTTTGCAACAGTGCCTTTTTTGAAAGGAAAAAATCAGATTTTGCGAAAGTTATGAAAACAATAACAAATTGAGAAGACTTACTATTATCGCAACAGTTGGTTGTAATTCAAGCAGACCTTCTGTTAGAGGAAAAATTCAAATTTTATGGAAGCTATAAAAGCAATGAAAAAATGTGAAAGACTTATTGTTATCGCAACAGTTGGTAATTTCTGCAAGAGATGCCATACTGAGAGAAAAGAAAACAGATTTTGTGAAACAATAAAAGCAAGTTTCTTATGATAGAAGCGCAAAGGTGTGCGCGTTAATGCATCTTGTGCTGTTTGTATAACTAATGTCGTCAAAGTTGCTTAGGCAAATGATGTTCCTCTTTGACCAATGAATTAAAAAAAGGCAAGTCGTTTGGTCACCTCGTGCGCATAAAATTCGTTTCTCAACAAGTTTAGTCAATATAAAACTCATTTTGTCTTTTCTTTCTCTCCTACATTCTTGAATCTTGAGAGTCGCTTACGGTGTTTTATTAAAGCTTACCCTTCGAGATTTGAAGGAAAAATACTAGAGGAAACTAAAGTAATCAATCTGATCCTTCTGACATTTGACCTAGGCCATATTTGTTATGTAAGGCCCCGGACAGACTTCACGCGATTTAATCGTCGCGACTCAATCGCCGATATTTCCATTCATTTTCATTTCACATTCAAAAATTTCGGGCTGGAAAAGTATCACAACCGAAATGCAAGTTAATCGGCATGAAATGATGTTGTAACAGTTGTCTCGTCGCGATGCAGTCGTGACGATCAAATCGCGTGAAGTCTGTCCGGGGCCTAAAGTAAAATACCAAATGAAGGCAATCAATGCATATAATTATACTATGCTAATGGGTACATAATATTGAAAAATCGAAAGAATAAAGAACAAGGAATAGAGCGCAGAAAACAGCTATAACAAAGTTGCTCTTTTTCAGTACAAAAGGTATAGAAAAGTACAAATATAGTATAAAAAATTGATGAGTGCAAGGTAATTCAAAATCGTGGTTAAAGAATGATGAGTGACGGTTTTAAAAATGATTTTCACTTACAATTTATTAGCAAAGTCATTATAATATCTTGTACTGTATTGGTTCTACGGCATTCTGGATAAAGAGAGTAGGGCCACAATTATTCGTATAGAAAAAATGCTCTCCCCAAATCTAGTATACGGGTGTTGAAAATCAAGACGAGGGTGTAAGTGAAAATCTCGTAAACAACATTGAATGAGCTCAAGAGTGAAAATCAAGAATGAAGGGGTGTAACTGAAATTTCTCCAAAACATTGGAAAATCTCAAAAACGTTGCAGATATTCAATTTCATTTCCACTATCGTAACATTTGATAAAAGACTATTCAATAAATCAGAAAAATTGTGAAGATGCGTCTGTCAACAGGCTGCGATGCCCATAATATAACTTCGTAAATCATATAATCACATCAGAAATAATTTGCGGCACATGACAATTACCACATCAAATACTGAATGAAATACGGAAAATCATTTTTGGAGAAAGCAAGAGAAATGTGAAATTTCAAGGAATGAAAATCAAGAGCTTATTGTTAGAAATGGTATAAATGCAAGATCTTTCGAAGCATTAAAAAATTCATGGGTTTTGCCCAAAGTATTACGTATTATAGAATTATTGAAGAAGCTAAAAAACTCTAGTTGCGTCTGTTAACAAGCTAGGATGGTTATTATGTGACTTCATAAATGCGTATAAACACATCAAAGAGAAACTCTGGCACGCGACATCCATTATAGCAGATAAATGCTAGATAGATGTTTTAAGAACATCAGATCACAAATTTTGGTACTTTTCCGTTATCCGGGCCCACTTTTCTTAAAAATCTCATAAAATGCTTCAGCTTACAAATGTTTATATAGATTTTATGAAGACTGTCTCCTTGCCACGTGTCAAAATGAAAATTAACACCTATGGAGCCAGTTTAACATGTTTTCCAAAATCATTTTGGTGAGGTACGAGAGTATTTAAAATGACTCGAAAGCTATTCAGAGATCTTGTAAAAGCAAAATAGTCTTAAATGTTTATAAAAACATCTTGGTAGTTTTCAGCAATAATTTGAAAAAATCCTTTTTTACAATTTATCTGCCATGCGAAATTAGCCGGGAATATAAATGATGTCTTGAAGTAGATGATAGAACTATAGCCCACTTCTCTGTTTTGGGAAGACTTTGTGTGTTTACTAAGCTCTACTTTTTCATAAAATCATTATTAAATAAAAAAACATTGGATTTAATATGACAGTCAATTTTTTGACACGTGGCAGGGGATTGACTCTCCTCCCGTCAAGTTTTTACCGATTTGTACAAGAAATGAAGCAATATCCTTTTTAATCTTTTTTTTTGAAAAAATGTGTCCAGATAAAGCGGAAAAGTACCCGAATTTCCAACAAAAGTTAGCCAGGATTGTTGCAATAAGAACTTTAGCAGAGAGCATGTTCATCACTGCAATCGGCGCATTGAGTGACAGCTGTTATTTCAGCGGCAATAACTGCAAAAAACAATATCCGTCTCGTCAGCGACAGATGAATGGATGTGAACCGATTGGAAAGCATAAGAATTGACCGCTCCATTGCGGAGATGTAAAGTGAGCTCGGGAATATTACTTTTCATACTATTAAGTTGGCTAAAAAAATGATTTCGGTAGGCAAGTGAGAATCTCACACATAAATTTGTGTATAGATGTAGGGTACCATTGATAAGAGTAAATCAAGGAAAATCGGATAGCTGCCCTTTGATTCAGCGGGATTGGCGGGCTTTCTCGCAAACGTGTTCTCTGATTTTTCTTTAGACTTGATTAGGCCTCGAAAGCCCGCCTTCCAGCCGCCAAAACCGTTGAATCAAAGGACAACTCTGTTTGCTCACAAAATAATTTCTTGATGACGAATGATGCAGGAAAGCCAAAAAAAACCTGGTTTCCTGTTGGATTCTCAGAAACCATGCTCCGGAAAACAAACTGAAATTGGGTGTAAATTGCTTGAATGGTACGCACACCTACGAATTTTTGTATTTCTGACCATTCTGACCACCATGGCCATAGGTGGTCAAATTTACGCGGTCTGAACTACCTAAAAATTGACCTTCTGCCTAGAAATTTTCACATTTATTGGTTATAGAAGTTTTCAAACAGCAAGTCACTCTTGATTTTGGTTTGCCATTTAGCCAAAGGTTATTATTTAAATTCTTGTCAGTCATCTAGCATTTCCTACAACTCGAAAACGAATCTTGGAATTCAAAATAGTGATCTTTCAAAAGTTTAGCTATTATTTAGCTCGATTTATATTGATGATAGCAGTTTTTGGAAGCAAAATAAAAGAATTTTGATATTTAAAGCAGATTCGACAATTTATAAGTGCAGTATGATTTTTCTGAAATCTGAGAAAATTTATGTGATATGACCGCATAATTGCAAAACGAGTCAGTTTGCTGAAACAAAATTCGCCTGTAATGCTTGTTTTGAATTCTCGTCTCAATGAAACTTGTTTTTACCTATGATTAGGGTTTTAAAACTTACTTTTCCGATAAAAGAGATAATGGTCATTTCAGCAATAATAATAGTATTTCTCAATAAACTGACTTCTTTTTGAACTAAACTTGAGAGTGCACAACAAAGCATATTCAATATGGTAACAGATGTGAATAGAAAAAAACACTTTTTCGAGCATTTTCGAAACAATTTCCTCATACCTGCAATGAAAAATCATTTTGGACAAGCCTACTAGGAACAAATAATTGAAATACATTAGAAGCTTGCGAACTAATTTTATTATGAAAAACGATTTGAAAAGTGATTTTCACTTCAACTGAAATTTTGAAATCTACTGCTATCCAAATTGCACCCAACTGAAGAAGCATGAACGAAGTATTAGAGAGTTTTCCAATAGCAGCAACGCATTCCTGGGCTAATTAACAAGGGGGCCGAGCGATCAGCGCACCGCGTACGGTACCCAGCTGGCGGCTGGCACATGCTATCGTTCATCTTGACCGCCACACGAGATAACTCTATCACTTTTCTTCAAGGGGCCGCTAATTAGAATGTTTCGCTCCTCTAGTAAATAATTTTTTTGAGATTGAAATAGTTGCAGAATCTTAGAAAGGAGTCAAATCTTTTTTGAAATCTGCTCGCTGCGGATAAAAATCGGAGCTGAGTTGCAAATCTACAAAATATTTACTATTAACTCACTCTTTTACTTTGTGACTTTGTGACTTTTACTTCACTAGTTAAAATTGGCTTCAACCAAGCACTCTTGATGAACATTCCATTCTCTTCGAACTCGAGTTTCTTTTCACACTCCATCGCAATTACTATTTATTTATAATAGTTTGCAAGTCGAATATTGCAAACTTTTCGCAACACATTCCTTGGAAAATCTGACTTCTGACCTTAGGGTAGAATTTACGTGGGTGCCTAAATAGAAAGGTTGCGGGTTCCGGTTACTCAACAAACATTTGTCAAATTGCGTGTCACTCCGGGATCAAATTTGTTCCGGCGTCAAGCGTTCGTCATGAAATCTACTCTACTTTTTCTGGCAGTGGCCATTTCAACACAAGCAGCATCCTTTGAGAACGGTATGCTAAATCGAGGCTAACAGCAGTGAAAGAAAAAATTTTTTTCGTTCATTAGCCATTTATTTGTCTTCTTATTCAGAAACATCTATGGAGTTCCACGAAAGGCAAACCAGATTGATTTCACATTTATTTAGCGGATACAGAAAAGATGTGCCGCCAATCAGCACTAGAGGTATGTAAATATCTTGTCAATTTCTTATTGTTTTGCCTCCCCAGTACTTCTGCTATGAAGTGAATCGGTTATCTTGCTATCTCTGAAAAATTAAGATAATTAAATGCATGCTTACCTTCTTGTATCTTTCAGGATCATGAGATAAATTTTCTCCTCACTCTTAACTCAACTTTTATGATCAAACAGCTAGTTGCTAGAGTCTCGCAGCAATGTTTATTTGATAGTAGAATACCTCGGATAACCCCACAAAATGGTAAAAATGGAGTCAGTTGAAGAGGCACCACCATAGCAATTGGTATCGGCTTTTATCATCTAGACCGTTCACATCTGATAGAGAATAAACAACAGACTTAAGCTATGCTAAAAAATCTAGGCCAACTTATTTTATAGTAGCGGGTTAGAAAGTTCATGCCTAATTCTAGGTTGATTTGAGCTCATCATTTTAGCTTTTGCCAATAAATGCGAAAATTTGAAAGAGTTGTTTGTGGTGAAAAGAACCTTTGCTAAGAATTATTTGTGGTAAAAATTTTTTGCTAAGTTGGTTTTCATAAGTTTGAGTTTATGTTTCATCTCCTTTGATATAGAATTCACCAGCATTTTGATCTCATTATTTTTACGTTTCACAAAAGGAGGACGAGGCAGGATCCTAGACATCTTTTGTGGAACAGTTTGGCTTACAATTACATTTGCAGTAAATCGCCAATTGTTTAATTGTAAGATAGCTTTTTCCGGTATATAATGCTTCATTTTGAAAGCTATGATGAAGGAACAAAGTCAAGGTTTTGAAAAAAATTTAGCTTTTTAATAAGCAAGCACAAGCTCATTTGCCTGAAACTTTCACGACAACCAGGGCAATGATAGATTCTAATAAGCTTGAGCGAACAGTTTTTTTCCCATAGCAGCGTCGAAGGCCCCATAAATCTAGAAAGTGGGGAAACTTTGAGAGGTGACATGGTGTTTTTTTTTCAAAATTGAACCTTCATGTGTTTCAGGGAATTATTGTGTAAATTACATATATGATTAAGGGGAAATAGTTAGAAGAGATGATAGACTCTGGGTTACTGTAATTGCTTTTTTTTCTTTTCCAAAGCTCACAAGCTCATAAGCAACCAACCCATAATAGAATTATTAGGTGACTTATTATAGGCCGTTATTCGTCAGTCACCATAAATCCCATGGTTGTGAACATCACATTAGCGTATGCAAAGCTGCTATCTGTCGTAAGTATTCTTTGTTCTGAAAGTTTTTAAAAGTATTATTTGAGGTCACATGCCTATTTTTAGAATGAGCCTAATCAGTTGGTTGATATGATTGTCGAATACAACCTGGCAAGTTTGTTTTATCGGTATAACTTAACTCTGAAAAATGTGAGTTTTTTTTTATCCTCGCATGTGTTCCCGCTTACGCAGGGTCTGCTTTTCTTGTGAGACGTCTCCATGTCGTCCTATATGAGGCAAGGTTTTCATCTATGCCAAGTTCTCGCAGGTCGGCCTTGATCCTGTCCATCCACCTCATCTTGGGTCTACCTCTGGGTCGTTTGCCTGGCGCCTCCACAGCCAGGGCTGTCTTCGTGATGTGACTTTCATCCCTTCTGCGCACATGCCCATACCATCGTAACCTTCTTTCCTGCATTTTCTGGGCAATTGGAGCTACTTTCATTCGTGCTCGTATAGTGTCATTGCAGATGTGATCCTTCAGTGTGACTCCTAAGGTCCATCGTAGCATCCTTGTTTTCATGACACTGAGCTTACGCTCCTCGTTCCGCGTACACGGCCAGCTCTCTGTGGCTCTCCTGGTGTGCTTATTTATTGGGATTCTAATGTCGAGAAGCAGTGGTCTGTGCTGAGTTATGCAGCTCTCACCTGGAATGACTTTGCAGTCCTTTACGTTTTTGAGGTCACGTTGCCGGATAGCCCAGAAGTCTATCTGTGTTCGTCGATCGCCACTCGCATATGTTATGAGGTGATCATCCTTCTTGATGTAGTATGTGTTCGCCAGCACCAGATCATGAGCTGAGGCGAATTTCAGAATGCGCTCACCTTCTTCGTTGCACGTTCCGTATCCGTGGCCTCCGTGACATTTTCCGGCTTCTCCTCGCCTTTTTCCCACATGTCCGTTGAGATCCGCTCCTAGAAGGAGTGTCTCATCCAGTGGAATTGAACTGATGTGGTCATCTAACTCCTGCCAGAACGCGTCTTTTTCGTCATCCTTACATCCGACTTGTGGAGCATAGGCGGTGATTACTCGTAGGACCTGTTTCCCAGTGTCTATCTTGATGCTCATCAGACGATCGCTTAGGCGCTCAACGTCAACTATATTGCTCCGTAGAGTCTCCGAGACAGCTATGCCAACCCCGTTTCTGGTGCAGGTGGCACCGTTGTACAGGAGCTTATATCCATCCCCGATGTCGCGTGACTTTGCCCCGCTCCACTTTGTTTCCTGTATGCAGGCTACATCGACTCGCCGTCTCTTCAGAAGATCTGCTAACTCACGAGAACGAGAGGTGAGTGTACCCATATTGATGGTGGCTAGAGTCTGCGATGCCTTGGTTCGTTGCCTCTGGTGAACTAGCCGCTTTAGCCGTCCCCGTTCACCTTGCTGAGACGGTAACCCTCGCCCACTATTCGCATTCGTCGGGCTCGAATGCGCGTCGCTTCCGGGGGACGCCCTAGCCTTTACTCGGGATACTTTATGAGACATGTCTGCATCTGGGATGCGACGGGGTGTTTCTCAGCCGGCTTGTCGCATACCCTTTTTTGGAAGGGCAGCCTGACGCTGAAATTGTGAGCAGAGTTTTGCCGCAGAAATTAGGCTCAGGGTGGTATCGAACCCGTGACCTTCAGCACGGCAATGTTACGTAGAGCACTAACCACTAGACTAACTCTGCTCAACTCTGAAAAAATGTGAATATTTTGCAGAAATGGAACGATGCGCGGCTCACATGGAACCCGGCCGATTTTGATGAAATCAAGGGGTTCCTAATCAACAGAGAACTTATTTGGAGAGTAGATCTCATGCCATACGATAGGTTCTCTCAATTCTTTCCTCGACGTTCCCCATTCCCTCACATTATTTTCCTTTTTCAGTAGTTCCGTGGTTGACATAAGAGATCCTGACGTTCAACACGCTTATGTGAGTTTGAATTTCTCATTTTCTCACATTTCCGATGTTTTTAGGTGAACAGCAATGGTGACATAGAATTTTATGTGGCTAGTGTCGTTTCATACTCATGTCCTCTAAACGTAAGTCTAACAATTAAGGCCCGTATGCACGCACATCGCTGGGAAGGGGAGGGGATCTGAGAGGGGATGCATCATATCTCGCTACTCTACGTATCTATCTTCTTTCTCTATCTGGCTTATGGAGTTTTTCGTATACTTACACGTGCGCATAAAGGATGCTAAGTTACTTCTATAACAGATAGGTTTTTTGCCATTTTGTGTGATCTCCTGGGGATCCCCAGAATCCCCACGTTGTCACCTCTCATTTTCTTCCTGAGAAGTTAATGGAACCGCAGCAAATCGTGCTGAGGATATACTACGGCACTAAGCTGTTTTCGACAGGAGAAATGCAATCTGAAGGTTGTGAATTTTTTGATGATCCCTAGCTCGAGTCAGGGATTACCGAAAATCTCGATATCCTGAGATTTCACTTATTTTTATTTTATTTTAGTTTATCCATACACTCGTGGTGCACCATTTAAAAAAATCGAAATCGAACAAATCAGGTAACACAGAACTTAGACAAAGAACCAGCCAATCCTCAGTCACAGAAGGAAGAAGAGATATAAATGGAAGACAAAACTAAACAAGACAAATACTGAAGCCCTATAATGACAATGTAGCCATTAATTGCAGCATAGCAAAGAAAAAGCGCTATGCTCAGACTAGTCTGTAGAATCTTGCTTCTTCTAAAGTTAATGAAAACCCTGTTTTTGGGTGTCAGCGAGCTCCCCGGTAAAAGCTGGCTGACGTGACCCCGGCTGAATAGTTGCTTTAGAAGAGAGCAAGATTCATTGGAAGTTGTAGGGATGAACGTCTACCAACTATGCGCGACTGATATCCGACAAAGGTGGAGGTGGGACTGGGCTACGGTGAGGGATATGATGTGAATGAGGCTGGTTGATCTGACCATTAGTGGAAGCACTATGGTTAGTAATACAACAAATAGTGCAAATAGCAGTCATTCTCTATCCTTGTTGTGAACTATCCAAGCGAAGCGAACCAGAAAGCGTAGCGTCAAATGATAGAAGGACGAACGTACGAAGAAAGCAATCACCACATTTGAACAAGACTCATCTAAAAATCAGAAATATCAAGAAGCTGAAGCACATTCACATCTAACAATTTTTTACGAAAAATTTTGAGTTTTCGCTGGATATGATATGATTTGGTAATGCAGAAAACCATCTTGATGTTCGATAGAAAAAGAAATTGAAAGTCATCGAAAGATGTTTTCTTCCTATTTTGCGATATTGCAAACCAAACCTACCTGTTCGGTCACTCCACGGTCTAAAAAACCTTACTGGCTTTTAGGTTAGTTTCTGAATTCAGAATCCAAAGGCATAGTACAAGTTCGTTAACAACACGCCTATACTTCAGACTATAGAGGTGTAACATATTGAGACGGGTACGATAGAAGGGTAAGGCATGAGGATATCCTGGATTGGGAAAGCATCGATAGAAAAGAATCCTCGTAAAAGTCTTTTGAATTTTTTCAACTTTATCAATGTTTCTTTTTAAAAATAAACTCCAAATGGGCGATGCGTACTCGAGATGAGGTAACACGTAACTTTTGTACAATCGCAAGAAAATTTCACCGGATTATTACTATGTATATCTCTAAGAATTGTAAAAAGCATTGAAGACGACCTTTTTATGACAGTATTTACATGAGTATCAAAAGTAGGAGAATTATAACACCAAGATCGCGAACTGAATTAGAGATTTCCAGATTGATACAATTGTAGTTGTACGTACAGCACTGGGAATTCCCAAGGTGCATTAACATAGTCTTGGAGGCATTTACAGGAATATCCCATTCTCTAGACCACTCCATTCTTTTTATGGATAAAGAGACCGCCGTGAATGCTTCACTTTGTTGATTGAGGTCGTAGCAAAAATATTAGGTTGTCTCATAATTGATGCACATTTTATGAATTTCAACTTTCAATCAAGATAACTCTTTTCCAAAACCATCTTTTTGAACGCAATAAAAATCACTGCAAACAACGAACCTTTGACTATAGAACGCATGCTTTTGTTGGATTGCAGCCACTTTAAGAAAGATTTTATAGCCTAAAAAATTCCCGAAATTTTTTTTAGAAACCTATACTTTCAGAGAGCTTAACTTTCGCTTAAATGTACTAGGACCGCGCGGACTTTGCTCATTATATAGCCGATGGTCGGTTGTGCAGTGGAGTAAAGTTTGAATTTTACGGGGTATTTCTGTGAGAAAATTTGGCAAAAAAAACCGGAAGTACCCATTTTTTTCAGTATTTTAGAAAATTCAAAAAACTGCCTCTTTGGAATTTTTCAAATTTTTTGTCTTCGAAAAAACGATGAAATGCTGCCGTTTTTCTAGCATTAGTTGTACTAGGTCTACGCTACGTGTACATAGCGAAATTTACACAGTCGCCTTTCCCTTGAGATTTTTATGCGGCTTAGATGGGCCTTAGCTACCAGCCAAGTTTGAGACAAGATTTCTCGGCTCGGAATTTTTCGAAAATCTCATACTGGCAAGTGTTTTGTAGCGCAAAGCTTCGCGATCATTACACATATTTTTTGAAAAAATCCGTCTACTTTTCATGGATTTAGAGCAAGGAGAGTGAAGGAAAAGAATTTTATGTTTTATCACTTGCTTTTGAATGCATAAAACTTCGGCTTCAACAAAGATTTGCGAAAACGAAAGAACCTGTTAGAAACTAGAGGGTTCGAGCTTTCCGACATTGTAAGGGGTTTTGAAAAAAATGTTTTTCCTTTAAAACTCAGCTCTCTCTCAAAAAAGGTTAGGAAAACGTGCATCAATTATGAGACAACCTGATATATTTTAATGTCGTCTGCAAACATCCGAATTTTCAGATTCGGATGGGTTTTCAGATATTCAGGCAATTCCGCGACGTAAGTAAGAAAAAGAACGGCGAGAGAATGCCACCCTGGGGTACGCCACTACTACAATGATATTGATCTACAATGATATGATAAAAGGTCTTCTCCAACACGAACGGTCATTCCCCTATCATATAAGTAAGATGCTACCAAGACAGGAGAGTTCCTCTTATGCCGCAGTTTTCTAGCTTGTATAGAAGTTTGCTATGATTTACCTTATCAAAAGCTTTTGAGAAGTCAAAGTATATGATATCTACCGATTGTCCGTTATTTAAAGCAGTTATCCAATCAAAGGTAAATCAACCAGTAGGTGTGGTGGAACAGCCCGGTAAAAACCCGTGTTATTAAGGAGGAAGGATACTATTTTTATCAAACCAGTCATAAAGCTTAGCTCGTATTATTTTTTCAAGGATTCTTCCCGCAGGAGGCATTATGCTTATGGGCCGATAGTTTGACAAGGTGTTCTGTTGCCCTTTTTTCGGGATAGTAGTAACAAGAGCTTCTTTCCATATTTTTGGCACCTTGGCAAATTGTTGAGACATTCAGAATATCAATGAAAGGGGAAAGGAGGGTGGAGGAACGAACACCTTAATTAGGCACCGCCTCCGCGGCCTCTGGTCCTAACACGATGCATAACAGTACGACGAAAGGACCAGCAGCCCGCGGAGGCGAGGTCTAATTGAGGTGTTCGTTCCCCTACCCGGGAAAGGGTGTTTGTGCACAGTTTCTATAAACAGTCTGAGGAATTCCATCATATGTGGATGTTGCAACAGCTTTCAGTCTCCTTAAAACTTCATATAACGTATCAGGATTGACTTGTATCTCATCACATGCTGTAGCAACAAAGGTGACCTTTGGAGACAAATTCGATAGATCCTGGTTTTCAAAAATGTCATTGTCAAACACCTTAGCAAAATATCTTCCCAGCACCAAATACCTTCTGCCTTCTCTTTGTCGTTCCTAAAAGTTATCCCATATTCATCCACCAAAGTCGGTAGTTTGCTATTACCTTTGGTTCTGTATCTGCGATATCGAAACAATTCTTTGTTGCCCCAGCATGCAAGGCAAAGCTCATTACTTTTCAAAAACTTTTTGAGATGATATTTTAAATCTTTACAAACTTTCTAGTACAAATGATTCGTAAGAGGATCAAGGAGGATAGAGAAAAGACGTATTTTTTGCTCAATCAAGTTTTGAATGTGTTGAGGGTAAGCATGTAATACAGTCAAAAGCTATTACGTTGAGATCGGTTGTACCGAACGAGGAAGGAGCTGTAAATTCATGACAGTATTAGGAGTAGAAAACACTAGATCATTGGCACTTCTACCTCTAGTTGGAATGGATACATTCTGAATAAGGTCAATGCCAAGGAGAGTACCAAGGAAACGCTCATCTTGCGTAGTCTTTAGAGGAGAAATCACGTCTATATTGGAATCACCAAGAATGACTGATTCAGATGGATGTGCACAAAAGTCCAGTAAAACATTTGCCAACGTTTCATCATCTTTAACAGTAGAGGAAGGTGGTCGATAGATAAGTATAAATCTCAGTGAAGAATGGGAAGGAAGCGAAAAAATATCTAAACACAGAATATCTGAATTTATTTGTTGCGAACAATCTATCCGTTGCACAAGCAAATCATTTCTTACTAGACAACAAACTCCACCTCCTCTTTTGTCCTTGCGAACTGACCGTTATATTGAATATGGAAAATCAATGACAATCTCAGAGTCTCTCTCTCGCACTTTAGGGCTTAGCCATGATTCCCTTATGAAAAGAACGTCTGGACAATGATGGTGTAAGAAAGCATGAAGGAAGTGCAATTTATTTACTTAGCTTCTTGACTTAAACAAATAACAAGCTAAATAATCACTGGTACCTGGCAAACCTAAGCGTTTTTTTTTGAGTGGGACGTTGGGGAAGCTGAGATATATGTTTGATTTCTCCCCTATACACTACCCATTCTTTGGCTGTTTTTCCTCGGTTTTTCTCCCGCACCCGCTGACGTAACTCAGAATCAAGCTGGCCTTCCGCAGGGGTCATGCTTTCACGCAGATACACATGGAATAAAGGAGAGTGACGTAAACGATAAGAATCTGATAATGCTTGAGACCACACGTGATGCGAAAGAAACACAAGTTTGACAAGGCGAGACTTGCATCTAATTAATTTGCCCATGCGATAAATCTCGCTAGGCCATGTATTGCCCGGAGCACATCTAATACCTGGGCCACACTCTTCTCTAAATGTTGTTTTTTACCCAGGAGCGACTGTTCGGGCGGAGCTTCAGGTAGTCCTGCAAGGACTACGCTCCTCTCCCCTTTTCCGTCTCTATATCCTTAGGGATTTTCCTTTTCAGCAGAAAACGCAGAAACCATCTGCTCTATGACTGGATCACCATTACGCTCCAATATGGAGTCGATGATCTCATTCACGAGATCATTGTAGTTCACGTCACCGCCGACATCGCCCCTCGGCAACGTGACTACCTTGGCTACTTAGTTTATTTACAGACTTCTTTGCCCCTAGAGATTGAGACGCAGTCGCCTGAGAGCATGACCTAGTGCGGGCTGGCATTATCAATCGATGACCCAGAAAGATGTCGAAAATCAATAAAAAGTTGACACGATGAGAATAAGAAACACACAGAAATCAAAACCCCCAAACAAAGTTTCAAAAATTGAGGGCTGTCGCGAAATTTACGATAAAGAGGCAAGAGAAAGAAGAGTGTATCAATCGATGACTCAGATATATATTTCAAAAATCAATGAGATGTTGATACGATGACAATTAGAAACACAGAATGAAAACCCCCAAACAGAGTTCAAAAATTGAGGGCTGAAGCTGATTTACTATAGAGAGCAAGAGAATAGAGAGTAGTATATATTTATCAATAGCAGGAGAGAGAAACGCCGCTATGGATAAAGCGAGAATCGGGATAGATAGGCTAGGATGGAGAGCGAAAGAAAAAAGCTATTTCTACTATAAACATCTTTAGCAGTGCCGTAGTATATCCACAGTACAATTTGACAGCGTTTTCATTGAGTTTTCAGGAAGATAAAAGGCACTGAAATTAAGAAGTGATTCTCTGGCGATCTCCTGGGGATCCCCAGGGGATCACACAAAAGAGTAAAAACCTAAACAATTATGGCAGTAACCTGGCATCCATTATGCGCAGGTAAATGGGTATGAGTACCTTCATAAGCAAGATAGAAAAGGAAGAAGAAAGATACCTAGAGTAGCGAGATATGACGCATTCCCTCGGATCCTTTCCCTCCCCAGCGGGGATGTACGTGCATACGGGCCTAAGTCTTTTAGCAAGTCTATCAAAAATATACACTTGCAGGTCAAAGCTTTTCCATTCGATAAGCAAGTGTGTGAAGTAAATTTTGCGTCTTACAATTTTGGATCTAGCGAACTTCAAATCAACGCTGACATATTGAAAAACTACAACGGAATTGGCGCTGTAAGTACATATTTGTCTCAACTGTCACAAATTTTCTACTATAGTTCATTAAATGCGCATTTATTGCTCAAGATCACTATCACTCAAACTAGTTAATGTAAAGTTTGCGCTGATCGAGTCTTTCTATGGAGAGTTACGATTTGCGAAACAATCTGAAATACAAAATAAACTCTTTGGCAATAATTTTTTATCATAGATCATGACTGTTTTGGGACACGCTCGATCAGTACAAAACTTGCTGAAATAAAGTGGAAAAATCAGAAAACATGAGAAACTGACTATTTTGGAATTTATTGCAACGTTTTTGGCATTTTCGACGCGCTTGCTTGAGGTCATCGAAGTAAAGTGATATTCTTGTTCCGTTCTTATTCTTTTATCTCTCTAACTTGTCTTTAACAGATAACCGACAAGGCGTCATAAGAAATGCATAATTTTTCTATTCTATGAAACTGACACAGCATATCTTCGACAGTCTAGAGGCAGGCAAAAGTGAAGGTTGTTTAAACATCAGCCCTCATAAAAAGTGAAGATTGTTTGTAGAAGATCAAAAGAGAAAAAAGACGTAAAACAGATATAAAAAGCAAAAGAAACTGCCGAAAACCGGATAAAAACGCTTCAGTGAAGTTCGAAATCTTTCTGGCGGCTCTTCTAAAGTGCAGATTTTCGCTCCAATACACGAGGGCAAACGATGAAAGGCTAATCTCTTCTTTGTGGTAGTTCAAAAAAACCAGTTTCAGCAAGTGGTTATCAAGAAGAAGATAAGCAAGAAAGAAATTAGTTGAGAAAACGCTAAGTTTATTTTTTACCAAGTCGAAATGCACGTCAAGGCCAAATTTATTTTTTGATGTATTTGCTAAATTTTTACCTCGCATTGATGTTACTGTCTTTTGGGATGTTGCCTGGATTGTTGCGTTTCTTGTTCTGAGCGACAATTTTCCAAGCTAGAGAACGCTGCAAAAGCACTGAAACAGAACAAGGTGCAGAAAAACGCACTTTTTGCGATTTTTCACAAAAAAGTTCGCCACAATCGGAAAGATAAGCACTGACTCGTTGTCTGCATTATGAACAAAAGTAAGATACACACAATGCACGAAAAAATCGCATGAATGAGTGAAACTAGGGGAAAAACAAGACGAAAGTAATGTTTTCACAGAATTTTTCGTTCAATTCAAGGATATGGTTTTGGGTCGTTGTTAGCGTGAAAGTAGGGGTTGAAAGCTTTGAAATGATATATAGCTTGCTAAAATTGGGTTCGAGACAACAAAGAAAAGGATACAGAAGCCAAATGGCCTCAATCCGCATTTAGGGTAGCGAGGTAGCGCGCAACGCGCGGAGACGCAGATGAGCCGCGGAGACAGATTAGAGCCAACGGGGCATTCGGCTCTGGTTCTAGATTTCGAGTCTTAACGAAACCCTGCAACATTATACAAGGTGTAAAAAAATGTGCCTACTGTTTGCTTGTTAATAGCTCTTCTGTAATAAAGCCTTTCGAGGAGCTTTAGGTACCATTCTGTAGAGTTAGCTTCAACTTAGATTTGCATCATAGAACGAATCACCCATATCTCTTCATTACTGTAGGATACGGTAGAAACTCAAAAACGGTTTTGAGCCATGAAGGGACATATTTTCAATCAGAATGGGAAACAAAACAGCCTGAAAACTTTCACATTGGGCTAATTAGAGTTGTTGATTCTAAATGTGAAATTCGCAACTTATCATGATGCTTCATCAAAAAGTTGTGCGAGGTATGCAGTAGTTGCCGTTTTTTCAATGTTCTTAAAATGTGCGGTTACACAGTTTAGAAAGCTTCGCAATCTTGTACATAGTTGTGTATTGAACTCAGCGTCCACGAAAACCCTATCACACAAGTTTTTAAAGTCAAAATTTTTGAAACCGCCTTTTATCACAATGCGCCATATACCTGATGTTTCTACTGTAATCCTACAGTAATGAAGGGTGATCGGTGATTCGCTTTATACTGTAAATCTAAGTTGAAGCCAGCTCTACAAAACATTACACAAAGCTTCTTGAAACACTTTATCACAATAGAGTTGTTAACAGTCAAACAATAGGCACATTTTTGGGACACCCTGTACATCATTCTGATCGTCATGACACGACGAGGAGTACTGACATCGCCCCAAGTGTTGAAAATCATTTATTAACGAGACAGACCAGCATTTTCGTGCGTAACTCTCTGCGCAAGAATTAAGCGCAGTTTCTTGTTTCTGTTTAACTCCAACAGCTTTTCTAAACTTCTGAAACTCAATTTTAGTCAAATAAGAGGTTAACAAAAAACTTTGTCTTGAACTCTGGGGGGACTTTTTGCAAAAGCCTTTTTTTTAGCGTAAAAAAAGGCTATAACAACGCATTCTCGGTTTCGCTGAGATAATCCAAGGATATTCCCTATACTTGCTTCATTTACATTCGTTCAGTAAGTCAGGATAGTCAGGATTAAAACATCCGGGCTGAAGCCCCAGATGATTCTGTTTTTCCCAGTGAAGTTTGTGTCCTCTCATGGCCTTCAAAGTGAAAGTTACCAGAGTACATGGATCTATGTGTCGAGGTATGGGCAACAGACAAAGACTTCGAGGTAGACTGAAAGTCATTTTTTTCGCAAATGCGACAGAACGCCTGAACATCTTAATTATTCTAATGTAAACAACTGAGTCTGTTGATATTCTTCTGAGACGGGCTTGTCCTACTAGGCTACAGCGCAGGTTTGAAACATCGCTGCCAGCTTAATATACAGACAGATTTGCTCTGAAAAACGCTTTGATTCACTCGACGATACATTGAACTAAATATGAGTTCGATGTACGCATTTGCGTACTCCAGCCTCTTGTCATCGAACAGGTTCTGTTGTAGTTAATAATTCGGAAAATGAACATTTCAAGAAAATGGAATTAAGACGGTCATAAATCATAAATCATAGAGAGAGCCAGAGCATATGGTCCCTTTCACATTCACTACTCTTTTACTAGGCTGTTTCAGAAGTTCTGTCCGATTTATCTGCTTTGTTTTAACGCAGCTGTTTCCCTAATGTTTTGCACTTATGGCGTTCATAAACATCGTATAGCAGCGCTTCTCCTACTCTTTCTAGAACTTACTGATGCTTAGCGAATCAACTTCTTTGGTGAAATTTCAAGCCCGGATGCAAAATTGCCAAAATGCAGTCATGCACAAGGAAAAGTTTCTATGAAAAGAATGTTTGCAGTAACCGTAAAACTAAACATGTAATCTTCCATAACGTGAGAGGGTATAATGGGCTAACTTAAGCATAATGCTTTTCATCCCACGTAAAAATGTCTTACTTATTCAATTTTTTCTCAAAGGTAGAAGACAAAATCAATTATTTAACAAGCGACAACAACCTACATATAGCGACGGGTGATGCATTCAATTTTGCATATGTAAGAGTAAAGCGAGGCAAACAGGGACCACCAGCCAATTAGCTTTTTTCGTTTGCGAGGCAAGAAAAATCAAATATTAGAAAATCGGCATATTTTCGCGCACGGAGGAGGATTTGAATAACAGGTACTTTTGATTTGCTTGTGAAGTTTATAAGCAAAGATAACTCGAATTTTTAACCGCAAAAGAGCCTTTGAAGCACTACTCAATGATGGCAGCCAAGTATGTCTGCTCATCCTCACATAGAAGCATTAGTATAGGCTGCTGCATGACGAAGGCGCACTATCTTTGGGAGCGAACGCATGACGCGCAGGACTTACAACAGTGAGCATACGCGCGCGCCGTGTTCGCGCCCGCGCAACTAATACGGCTTCTGTGCCTTCGTCATGCCTTTATGTCAAACTGGACGCTTTGAAGAAGACCTTGCAGAAGTCTAAAATTTTTGCTTCTGCCTCGCTTGCTTTCCTTACATAGCATAGTGTGCTTTTGATAGCATAAACTCTCACAATTCAGCAAAATAAACCAAAAATTGCAAATCGGACAGAAACAACTTTTGAAACAACCCAATATATCTACTAGTTTTGCAGAGTAATGGTGAATGGACCGTTGATAAGCTTACAGCAATAGCGCTACCATCAATTGAGGGTGAAAACAATTACGACATTTACGTGGTAGGCCAAATGTTTTCTTAAAATAGCTTTGATCTTCATTATTAAGGCAACGTACACATTTCATTTTCGACGCAGCTCTGCATTTTACATCATCTTGATCATAATACCATCATTTGTGCTTACTTTCCTCTGTGTGCTTGGACTCTTTTGGTCTAGATTTGACCAGACTGATTACTTAGAAAAGGTAAGTCCTCCGAATTTTGTCAAAGGAAACTACACAATCACCATTCTTCTAGCTCGGGCTTGGATTTGCAGCAATTCTTGCAATGTGCACAATCCTTGAGATAGCTGAAGAGTCTGTGCCCAAAACCAGACAGCTTCCCTTGCTGTGTACGTCAAAAAGTTTTTTTGTAATTAGATTTAAATCCGGCATTGCAGCAATATACATCATGATAAATCTACTGCTGTTGACGGTAGCGATATCGATTGTTGTGATAGCTTCTAAAACGTGTTCCTTGTCCTTTAATAGTGTCCTATCAAAAAGGTTAGTTTTACAAGAATATTGCAGAAAAGGAAATATACGAGACCGTTTCAGGTGGCTTCGCCGTTTCGATCTCAATCTATGTGCAAGGTTTCGAATCATTTGCTTAGTCTTGTTTCCTTTAGCAGTAATCGCCAATCTTCTAGCATTGGTAACGAATGTATGAATGTGATACAACCACATTGGTAAAAATATTATTCAATAAAAAAGTTGTTCATTTAATTACCCTAAGATCTTACGAATAAACTCCTTTTTTAACCTAGATAAGTCCGTCCCTTATAGAACCTTCGGATAGATCCATCCTACAGACAAGTCTTCATGATAACTGCCCTGAAAACTTGTAAGATTAGTCCGAAAATTGTCATATAGGATATCTGGAAACGACGTTATCTGATGGGGACCCTTTCTGTGAGATTTCAAGATAACAAGGTACACCTCGTCGGTAGTGCTCTCATAGAACGTTCGATACGTGTGATATGATATGCAACTGCGTTTCACACTAAAAAGACAGCTCATAAAAATGTCTATGGATTTTTGAAAAAAACAAGTACCCCTTTTAGACCTCGTGATTTAACCTTTGATTCAACTGGGTTGAGCTGAAAGGCAAGGTTTTGTGCCTTAATTAAGGTCGCTCGCGCTCGCGACGCAGATTGCGCTTCTGTCGCTTGTATGCTCTCTGATCATTATCGAGCCTTAGTTAGGTCACGAAGCCCGCCTTCCAGCCGCCAAGCGGGTAGGGGAACGAAAGCCACCAGTATGGGCCGCCTCCGCGGACTGCTGGTCTTGGGACGACATGCAACAACACTGCAAAAGGACCAGTTGGCCGCGAAAGGCGGCTAACTGGCGGCTTTCGTTCTCCTACCCCCGCCAAGCCAGCCGAATCAAGGAGTGCATCTGATATCGAAAGAAATTGCGTCTCGATCACTGTCTCGACTCAACTGCTGTTCTGAAAATAAAAGCATGGTATCTTCCTTTAGTTTACAAATACACGACGCTTTTAAGCAAAACTTGTTTTTTCAAGAAAAAGAAAACGCAAAATATGGCTTTCATAACTAAAGAACAGTGATCTTTACCACTTCACTATACACGCTCCTACGATTTTTCTAACAACTCCGTTTCAGTATTGTTCCGCGCGTCTCCGAACTAACTGATCTTTTAAGGCCTCGTACTGCTTGTGTCTGTGTAGAGGTACCATGCCAGTATTCCCTAAGATTGATACAAGAATTAGTTTAGGACAGTACTGTGGTTCTCGCGAAGCCTAACGAGGTTTACGGTGATTGATCTGCGCACGGGTACGCATACGTTGTGCTGCTACTGAATATAGCGCTGTCTCTTCTCTCGTGGAAAAAAAGGTGCCTATAGGTTGGCAATCTGCCAAGAAGTAGCAAGTAGTAGCCTCATGATGAATGTTTCGCACTAAAAATTTTCTCAGAAAGGTAAAGACAACGTGATTAAATGCGGTTTCAGCGAATTTAACGAGGCGCCAAACCGGGTTTATGGATGGCAAATGTCAGTAACTTTCTATGGGAAACAAAAAAGGAGTTATCGTACCGAATCTGGCCTAAACGAGTAAGAGCTGGGGGTGAAAACTTGTGGAGCATTCATGTGAAGGTGTGGCAGGCTTGTTACTGAAAAAACTCGTTTGCGAAGCACAACCAAGATTTGGCTCCAAATTTGGTGTATATATGCAAAGTGAAGGAAAAAGATACCACCCTGAAGGTGGCAAAACCCTCTATTTAGGTAATTTTTTTGATGATTTATGTAAATTTGCTCATGCAACTTCTATGCAGTAGCATTTTGACTTGTAAACTCCATCTCTCTTTTTTCTTAAGTCCATGATAGCAGCGTCCCCCTCCTCCGGGGAGGAAAGTGCGCTTTAGTCGAACAACCCACGCAGTTGGCGCGATCAGAAGTAAAACTCGAAATGCATAGCCAATTTATTGGTGTATTTATTCCCACCCTCATGCCGGGCCCTAGCACCATACTCCATAAGACTCAGACTGCTCTATTCCAGCGCAACCCTTTTAAGGGGCTCACAATGTTTCACAGCATCACAAACTATTGGCGAACATGCATTTGCCGTATTGGCGTCAGTCGTTAGAGGCAGCGTCTCTGCAAAATGATGGTACCGGAATTTTACAGCGTTGTAATGACAGTCCTCCATCTAATCTAACGTGAAGTGTGGAGCGGAAAAGCGCTTCTGGAAAGCCAATCTACTCCAATTTTTCCCCGTCCATTCGTTTCAGGCCCCGCCCACTTACACGTATTTTTCAGCAAGTGCGGACACGAAGAGCTTCGGAAAAAGCTCGTTTTCGCCATTTTCGTGCGCTGCCGAAAAAGTGAAAAAACCAGAAAGCGAGATTCCGGAAAACTGCCTTTAATTTGCTTTTCTAAAAGCTGGAACCTCCTCAGAACAACGTATAGTGCGACGTTGATCAGCGCCACATCAACGAGTTTTTAGACAGTTTTTTCCTCATAAAAGCGAGGCAGTGAAACGTCAATGAAGTCTTGCCAATGTCTTTGAAGTCATTCATTCCTGCTTAACATCCTGTTCCACCTGTTCCATGTGTTCTTTGCTACCAATTTGCTTTCGAGCGCTATATATCATGATTGAATACGAAGGAAAGAAACGGCTGTGTTACATTCAATTCCCATTCCTACAGAGCTAACGTAGATGCATGTGTTGTTTAGCTTAAGATAATGCTGGCTTTTCGAAATTATTTTTTTTATCTTTTTTGCCGGTCTGCAATTCTTTCTACTTTATGGAAGTCATATGTAAACAATTTGTATGTCGTTCGTTTTCCTGATCGAATCTAAGTGGCACTGACTTGCCGTCCCTGTTTATAAGCAAGCAGTGAGACACTTGCAAATTTGCATAATTCGATCTCTCCTCTTCACATGCGGCCTGAGAGATTATGAGAATTATGCATCCTTTGCTTATTGAGATCCGAGCAAAAAACTTTTGGCTGCGCTAACAGAGCGTAGGGCATCACTACTTAGCAATAGTTACTCGTTTCGGATACGTTTTCTCCAAACGTATACCATCGGTTTCCTTTTCAATAAATTTGTCCTCGATTATGAATATAATGGCTTCCTCCACATAAAGTAGCATCAATAGAAACGAGCTTTAAAAACAGATACGACTAGTTAATCTTTGGTTAAGTGGGTTGCACTTGATGTTTCTACCACAAATTTCCTATGTTTGAGTAATATCATATGGAAGATCCAATGTGTGTCTGTTGTCGGCATGTATGTATGTATTTTTTATGCTCCAAGCAGAAAATTTCATTTCTGAATCGAAAAGGATCAAATCTTTACATATACACTTCGAGGAGGGGGAGGTGGAGGGGGAGAGATAGTGCTACTATCCACTATCGATCGATACCAACTCCATCAGTCTTTTGCAAACTCTGAGCTTCGAGGCACGTGGAGGTAAATGAGCATGTTGATTCAGAGTGCAACATTGGTTTTTTGGAAATTACCATGTGGCTTTTGATTTTGTCGATTTTATTGAACTGCAAAAGAAACTGCGAGTTTTTCCGGGTACGTGAGCATTTATTACGGAACTCTAGTGCAGATCGGGAACGAGTTTAGGAGTGGGACAGGCGCAGCGGAAGTAGGAATTAGCAGGGGGGGGGGGGGGAGGGGGAGGACCCTGTATACGTGTACATCATTTATTATTTGTAACCGTGTACATCATTTATTATCTTATAAATCTCTTCAACAATTATTTCAAGAGAACTAGGTTTACTCAGCTTTCTCATAGCTTCCACTTTATCTCGATGACTGAAAGAATCCAATGGATTTGTGGTTTCGCCATCTCATTGTCAGAAGCTATGAGACATTTATCCGTTCTCAAGCAATCTCATCACAGCGAACTGTCCAGTTTTTGAATGTGAACATTAGCGTCACGACTTTGAGAATTGTTTTGCAATTGGATTAATTGTGATCTCAGAGGTTCTCACGTAACACAGGTGCACTATTGTACTTTCTCGCAAAATCGAAAAAGATCAGCTTTGATTCCTCCGTTTCTTTCTATAAAATTTTCTTGCATCTCGTTCACCAAAATTTACGAATCCAGTCACATCTCCATTATATTTTGAAATATGTGAAGTAATTCACTGTGCAAAGTGTCCAAGCTCTATTTGTTCTGGGGTTTGGTTTTTATCCTAGCTTCTGGAAAAGCATTCAAAAGCAACAAGTCCATAGCTTACACAACAGTAGCGTAAAAAGAGTAGGGAAGGAGGGGCGATGGAGGAAAAGTTTCCTTTTTCCTGAGAAAAGGTCGCAGTCTTGGTGTTCTGACTTATAAGACTATGCTGATAGCTTGTTTCTACTGTAGAGAGAAACTATTCTTTGAATCTTTGAAGTTCAAATTAACTGTGTAAAAGATCTTCCGAAAAGTGTGGCATTCAAAAGACCGCCAATGTTGAACTTTTTACGGTGCTTTAACTCAACCTAAGTCGTATTTCACTGGTTTAAATCTACGCTTTCAGTATTGTATAATATTCTGCCATTGACGATCTATGCAAAAGTCTTTCAATTTAAAAAGTTCAACGCAATCATACAAGCGTTTCAACTTCTTTTCTGGAAGGTATCCTTGGAATAACAAACTTAGTTTCCTTCTCCTATTTCTCAAGCAGACTAGACTTGTCGTAGGCAGGGGATTAGGTGAGAAGATTATACGTAAAGAGAGGATGGAGGAAACTACAAGCTGCGCAAGCATTGTTCCAGAAGCTATCAAAAAAGTTTGCGCTCACTTGCTGTCTTTTTGTTTTTTTACAAGGTGAAGCCATAGATATCAGTTTATTTTGTGTTTTATTAAAAGAATAAAGGATTCGGCGTCTTCGGTACCCTCTGCGGACATGCGCCGTAGCACACTACTCCATAGTCGAAGAGGTAATTGCGTGTGTGTGAGCCTTTTACAATGACATGCGGGGCCAGCCGATTATCAAGTCAGTGCTTTTACTCTCCCAAATTGCTCTGGCTCTGGTACCATTTGCCCGAGTAAAGGGCTTGGTTGGCCGAGGGGCGGGATCGAACCTGAATTCGATTTGGTTATAGTGGCACCTCCTAACATACCATTAGGCCAACCCTCTTTTTGATGTTTTATGTACCATCATAATGCAAGAGATCATTATATAGCGAATAAAGATACTATAGATT